ATTAGTTAACTCATTTTAATAGGGCAAATCCTTCACAAACTCATCAATAAAAAACCGATAAGTACATTTTTAAAGGTAAATATGATTACTAGCAATTTGTCATTGACCATTACTTAGTTTGGGTTCGCGAGTTAAACTAAATACTGGTGATACTATTTAATATATTCCCCATATTTAAATTTCTACTATTATATTACCATGTTAGCCTGATTTGTGTACAGCTAAACTTCTGCTCTAAAATGTGAATAGAATGGGGGCTCTGATATAACTGATGTACTGGTAGTCTCGAAACTCTACTAATACGAAAAATAAAATGGAGGCTCCTAATGTGCTTTCAACGCTCGCGAAAATCTTTTATATAAATTATTTGAGGCTACAGTTTATTAGGCAAAGGTTATACGCCAAATTGCTTCATATTTTGTCTCGTTATCGTCGCGGAATACGGTCATGCAGTGTTACAAAATAACAGTGGAGATATTCTATTAAATGTAGTTGCTTTCTTTTTCTACAGATTACAGTTTACGCATTTGATTCTACTTTTGCCTCAGTATTTGTTACTTCATCTTATCACAAATGAGTACCAAGCTCCAATCGGTTTCTGGTTATCAAGACCCTATTCCAGTCACAATTAAGAGTTTTGATTTTGAAGAACCTCATAGCTTTAATCGAATTTTGGATTTAAGTAATTCAGATATGGGCCAATATTCACTCTTGCTGCTAAGCTCGTTTCCAGTTTATTCACTTTCCATAGTTGCCCTAAATTTGGTGTTGATTTTTTTAAGGATTAAAGTTTAATACCCTTACAAACAAATAAAGATTTTACAATCATTTGACCACATTATTCATTTGAGGAAGTATATATATATTGGAGTTTCATCTGATTAGTCTAGGGACTCAGCGTCTACAATCAACCCATACATACGTGAAAGAATTTCTGATAAATCAGATCATATTTTAGAGGATTATTTTCCGTGAACCTAGTGCATACTAGCCATCTCTTTATTTTTATTTATTCTATTCTGAGAGAATAAATGTTAGGATATTTCAGAGTTTTTACATTAACTTGTAGAAATTGATGATAGCTTCATTCGCGTACTATTACTCTCAGTAATGCATATTAAAATATTTTGTGTACTTTCTGGTATTATTGCAACAAGCATATAAAGGGCTTTTTTAAAGATTATTTAGTTTATTATTTTATTCTAAGAAATTCAAAATGAGAAAGAATTCGCTTAAGCTTGCCTGTAATTTGGGAAAATATCAAAATTTACATTATTCTTTGCTGGAATACTAGATATGCTATTTGAGCTCAAATAAATTATACTAAATGTCAGTTTTATTGGTAACCCTATCTCAAATGCTGTTATACTAATTCATTTGGACAGTTGACTTTGTTCCATTTAAAAATAAATATCAGCATAGAGCACTATGCTTATAGCATCTGTCATCACATTATTTAGAAGAGAATGTTGATGTCGCCATAATTATAGCAAAATAAGTGTGATAAATACAGTATGCTATAATCATTTATTAGTAATTACTTAGTTATATGTAATTCAGAGATAAAGCCATACAGAAGACGATTTTACTTCTAGTTATGTGGCTCTTGTGTCCATATGGCCAAGCAATGTCTTAACTAAGATCTGTATGCATAAACGATGGAAAAATATGGGAAATACTTCTGCTCGAAAGCCAATTAGACAAAGCTCATTAAGCCACTTTGTCATACATTTTTTGAAAATCTTGCCTTTAAGGTAAACAGATATCCAGAGCTTCGCTTTCTTGAACGAGCTAATTGGGATGCATTTGATCCAGTTCTTATCTCTGAGTGTCTCTTCTCTACGGCCAATATCTTCTCCACCCTCCGACTAGTACAGATATTCACGGTAAATCCGCACCTGGGTCCCCTACAAATCTCGCTTGGACGCATGCTGAACGACATTCTGAAGTTTTTCTGCGTCTACTTGCTTGTTTTGATTGCATTCGCCTGCGGTATGAACCAGTTGTTCTGGTTTTTTGCTCAAGAGCGCGGAAAAAATTGTGCTCATACCGGACTCCGACATTGGCATCCCAAAGTTAATGACACAGACAACAAAGATATTTACGAATACTGTGTTACAAGAGGAAAATATTTCACTAAGTAAGTCAAATCACTGAATATAATAGTAATTTTGTAGGAATTCCATTAAAAAGACACAATTTTGTATTTACTCATAATTGATTATGATTCATATTAAAATGAAGCCCATATGAACAGTATTTATTTAAAGTGCATCTGAAAGAAGAGTTAATAACTAGGCCACATCATGGATAATATAGATGATTATTTTTCCAATGATATAATCTAATCTAAGGTTTAATCCTTGAAAGATTATGGTTGAAAGTACTTACAATTTGGAGATAAAAGGATTTGAAATGCGATCTTAGTCAAAATGTGTTAAAACAACAATAACTATGAACTTTGTCATCCTAGATAATCTAAGAACTGATGATAAAATTCTTCCCACCACGAACTGTTTAGGCCTCATGATGTCATTCAATTTCAAAATATTTTCTCATCCAGGCTAGATTTCAGTCTTAGCCTTGCATTAAGCTCATTATTATCCGCAATGGAATTCGAAGCCGGTTCATGCGCTTCGTGTTGACAAGTAACGCTTCAGCTACACAGCCACGGGTTCCAGTAGATCACAGAGCAGATGTGACTTATGGGGCAAGCCAAGTCTCTCCTAAATTATATTTACGCAGTCACCGTGTTTACTTCGGCTTATACTCATCTACCTTACTTATTTTCAAGGGGAGTTTGTTCCGAAACTATGAATCATGTTTGAATAATCCCCTGCGAATCCATACTACGTATAGGTTAAAAATTGGCTTGGATAAATAGATTGGGAAAAAAATATTTTGAACTGATTTTTTTCACAAATGAAAGACTTATGAAAGATGATTTAAGCAATTTGAATTAAGTAAAGTGAAGTGGAAGGTATTTTTTCGTGTATTGAAAAAAAATAAGTTTATTTTTTTTAAGTCTTAACTTTATCTTGGTTTAGTTGGAAGATATATTTAGAAATTTACTTATGCAGGGCTAAGAGAACAGTTTAACACAAAATCACCGATTGCGATCTGTAATAAAACAGACCATATGGTTAAGCTTTAGACAAATAGGAACATCAAATAAAGATTATACTTTGTCGTATTTGACGGTTTTATTCCCAGTGGGAAAGCACCCTCCTCGCTTATTACAATGTAGACCTGGTAAGCTCCCTAAAGCGACCTAGCATCAGTTTCCCCCTTGCCAACTTGCTTTTCTAGCAAGCAAAAAGCTCACTTAATCCTTAGCTAGTTTTGACGGACGTTAAGCCCAAAAAAAGAAGTGTAAACCTAAAGTTGCACTGCTTGGCATAGATGTGGCAATTGATACCACCGACATGTTCCCTGGGGAATGGCCAAGCAACCAGTCCGCAGATAGTTCCATTTAAAGTTGGCAAGCTGTGAAGCAGTTGTAAAGAAGTGCTTTATTCACAGCTCCTATTGCAGCCGGCCGTTAATACCGCTTTTCAGGGATTTCGAATAAACAGCAAGATTGGCCGAATGGACTAAATATAGCCTAACTTTACGGAAGATATTAGAGACCATGTTGTTAACTTTCAGCATTGGTATAGTCCGTAAATTCATCCAATTAGTCAACTAGCCGCGACTGGCAATCCCAGCCGGTTTTCTGGACATACTAATTCTTTTGTAAACAATTCATCGTATTATACGTTCTCTAATAAGGCTTTAGGTGCCAATGCTAGTAACTCACTAAGAGCTGAATAAGTCAAGTCATCATATTCTCAGAAAATTCTGAGAAAGATTGCAATGCAAAGTGCGGGTACTTTTTGCTTGAGATGCATAAGAATCCACAGAAATAATTATTCAAGCTAATTGCATGTGTACTTTAATTCTGATTAGAAAGCCTAAGCATTGAAACAATCTAATACATTTTCCGCAGCATAAGTAGGCTTTCAAGACCTCCAGTAGATGTGATATAAGAGCTGCATTCACTCTAATTCGTTTCAGGTAAAAAAGGACTGGCAGTTGAATTTTATTAATATTATATAACGTTAAAATCACGTTAAAATCAAATTTCACATGGTCTTACCGTCCAGGATAGTCGGCAGTTCTGACCTCTTATAGGTCCCTTCAGCACCTCCAGCGGTGCTCGAACTCGGGTAGTGCAGCGTATAATCGCAACACGATTACCGGAATGATAAAGATGCTTCAAGTGTTGTATGAATATCTCAATTATCAAATTAATATTAAGCTCAATAATTTTGCAACAGAGAAAGATAAAAGTTGGTTGACCTTGTTTTCTCAACTTGGTCATATTAAAAGGAAGACATAGAGGAAAGCATCTTCTCCGGAGTCAATGGATGCATGATCATTTCCAATGTCGGACCGTGGACTTGGTACATTCCCAGACGCTTCGCCGGCATCGTAGACGGCATCGTCAGTGCGCCTTGCCATTCTCAGCAACCAGACTACAACTCGTCAAAGAGACAAGACGCATCGATGACATCCTATGCCTTAATATTTTGTACACCAAGCCACAAATGTTGTGCTTAACCGTGTTTGGATTAGGCTCACTTTAGACGTCCTCTCTTGGTTTACAATCGTCGCTTTTTAGTCTCGCGATTTATTTTCCTGAAAGTGAAGATAATACCTTTATTCAGATCAGGATGGCGTAGCCTTTTGCATGGTCGGGATCTTCTTTCGGTTTATAGATGTGGTTTGACCTTGCTTTCGCAACTTGTTCGGAGTTCATACAATGCATGATTTATTCAGTCGGAACGTGGACTAGAAGCATTCTCAGACGCTTCGTCGACATCGTAGACGACATTGTCAGTGAATCTTGTCATAGGCAGCACCAAGTTACAACTTGTCAAAGAGACAAGTGATCTCGATCCTTTGACCAAACCGGTGTGGTATCTCTCCTCCTATACCCCCACATCACCCCTTTAATATCACAATTTCTTACTTGTTTATCAAAGTCTATTTGAAACCTATTCACACTTCCGCTGGTTCCCAACTCCCTCCAACTGTGCCGAGAGTGTTGATCCAAGGCTGCCATTTAATCCGCATTCCTCTCTCTGTCGGGTCCTATCAGAGTCCCCTCTGGCTCCTTTGCATCTTTCCCTTTTCTGCCTGATTCAGTGAATTCACGGCATCGCTGCAACCGTATCCGTTCTACTAAAGGCGCTATGCTGTAAACTCTGCCTCAAGCCTTTAATAGCACGTATACACCAGCCTCCCGAAGTAAACTCCTGGATTCTCGATTTTCAATTGGCATGGCAACCTAACTTGACGCTGCAGAATCTCTTTTCGCACTGCAGCATGCGCACCAAGTAAATCTCGTCGTCAAGCCTCCCTTTTCCCATGTCCTAATTTTGCCGTCATACCTTCTCTCAAAAAGATGGGCGAATTAGCAAGAAAGTGGTACAAAAAAACAGTTGTCAAAGAAACCCTCACGCTTTCTTCTGCTATGCCATCTTTTAGAGAGAAATATGAACCAATATTGAGATCCTGCTGCTACAAGATTGTTTGCTCCTGGGGTCGATGTTATGTTGGTGAGACATGCCGACCTATTCGACAAAGATTGGTAGAACACAAAAAATGCTTGCAAAGGTAGCTGGATCCAACGAACAGAAGTGGCCGAACATATGGTAGAAACGGGACATGAAATATAATGGTCTCAAACTAGTAGGTTTGCTGACTATGGTACGTGTGTGGTTAAAAAGAAGAAAAGAGAGGCTATTGGAATTAACAGATTAGGAAATACGGTGAATTTAAGAAATGTTGGTAGAAAGTTGAGTAGGAGAGAGAGGGTGTTGAGCCGCCAGCAAAAAGAAGGCGACTTAATTTATTTGCTCCGTGATGGTTCTAACTTCACTCACATTCTTCCAAAATGTTAGAGTAAGCTTATAAACCAAACCAGACATGTCAGATTACGCAACCCCAGTCTTGCCTTTCCCTGGAGGGTAAAACGTTAATGAACCTTGACGAAAAGGTTAGTACAAGTGGCTTCGTAACTTTTCTATGACATTCTATTGCGTGCCAACCCCCCAACTATGATTTTTCCACTTGATTTGAATAGCCTCACTGTATACGTCATCTCTTGGTTTCATATTGTTCCTCTCTGGTCTCCTTGTAATTTGTTTTTCCGAAAACTAAAAGTATTACCTTTGTCCACTCGTCTTCTACTCCGAGTTTGTTTAGGCAGTATGCAAAATTTTCGCTAATCCTACCTACTTCACGTTTCATGTTCATTAGATTTCTTTCAGTCCGGATATCGATGGCTTCTCGTATCTTGCGTTTTTTGTATTTCCATCGTATGCAGCCTGCCCTTCTGTCGATGTACACTTAACTTCCTGTCCTGTCCGTGCGATGTGTTCCGCTATTTCGGATCTTTTAGTGTCCATGTTTCTGCAGAGTCTTTGGCGTTCCTTGATTCTTCCCATTTCTCAAATACACTTCTGCTCATAGTTTCCGCATTTGATGCTCTAGACTGCCGAGCAATCCAGTTTGTCAACTTTCTCGTCTTGTGAAGAGTGTTGTCTTTTCTTTTGTTATCATCTTGATATTCCAATGTCTTAGCAACTGTCGCTATTTCTAGCTAAGTTCACATGAAGGTAGTCATATCCACTTTTTATGACTCTTATATTTATTTCTATAAATTTTCTGGAGTACTGGTTACTAAAGTAAATCCAAGTCAGTCTATCCAACTCATCATTCCAGAACTCATTATCCGTTAGTCTTAAGCTTCTGATGATCATACTCCTCATTACTTCGAGCTTCAGTCTGTGGCTATGATGAGACTGGAAATTGAGGATTATTCCCGCATGTGATTTCTTTCTCAATAATCTCCTTGCGAGCATTCCGTTGGAGCGGATGACCTCATTATCCAGGAAGAGTAGTCGTTTATACTCTTTCACCTCGATTGTAAATTTAATCCTTCCATCAAGTTGGTTTATAAAGAAGTTGTTTGACCTTCTTTTCGCAACTTGGTCATAATGGTAGGAAGACTGATAGAAACGCACCTTGTCCTGAGTCCATTGTATGC